ATCCTTTCTTCCCCCAGCCTGTATTGATACTGGGGGTTGCCCTGACCCAGGTGCAGGACCTTGCACTTGGCCTTGTTGAGCCTCATGAGGTTCACACAGGCCCACCTCTCCAGCTTGTCCAGGTCCCTCAAATTTTAAAAATTCTAGTTAGAAAGAGAATTCTTAAACTTCTTAGATCAGATGTGTTTTTATTTCTTTTACATGGGTACATAGAAGAAAATAGAAAAGGACCATGCTGTAACCATGGCCTGGTTTGCTTCCGATTGTATAGGCATAATGGAGTATCTACAGAGTTACTCTTATGGTTAAAACACATGCATGCTTGAGGATCGGGAACTGAAGGCCCTTTTCCCTTGTGTCCACCCTGTTACTATTATTCGTGTATGTCACAAAACCAATAGTTGCTGTAGAACGATCAAAACCTGCAGAACAAATAATGCCACTGATAGGGCTGGTCACATGAAGTACACCTGCCAGTTCTTAGCAACAGACAGAAGCAAATGCCCAGCTCAGACGTGATTTGAGACATGTACACCAAAATCACTCTCGTTTCAAACTGTGGGGACAGCACAGGGTCCCAAAGGTAGGTGCTGTGGGCTGTGCTCCTGCCCAAGGCCACTGCCTGACTGTCTGGGCGGTGGTGAGCCAGGCTGGGGCAGTGCTGGTGGGGGCAGCCACCTCAGGGTACCCCCGACAGTGGGAGCCACATTTTGTCTCAGGCCCTGTCCAAGCCCAGCGGCCCCAGTCCTGCACCCCACCCCGTGCCTCAACCCCTGTTCAACACCCAGCCCCACCTCTGCATGGCCTCTTCCCCATGGATTTGTCTGGTGCTCGCTGGAGTTTTGGCTGATTATTGTCACCGGATCTGCCTTGCTCTTCTTGTTTGGGTGCTGTTGGGTGGTGACCCTTTTTACTGAAGTCACTGTTACCCACCTTGTCACCCACCCTCTGCTCCTGGCTCCCCTCCTCTTGCACAGCAACCCACCCTTGCTGCTCCCTCACGTGCATGCTCACCGGAAAGCTGACCTTGCACCTTATGGATTTTACTCACAGACCTGAATTCATGAAGAGATAATTGTTGTTATGTCACATGGTAGCAAACGGCGCATCGAACATCCCAATGGCAAATAGAGGGCAATTTTTTGTGTGTGTGCATGATAAAGTTCTGTATCAGCAAAGCTCTCATATAACAGAGCTTGTGAATAATGCTTTTTACCATCTGTAGTTGGCAAGGAGACTTTGTCCCATCCTGGCAAGTGATGACATGCTCTCAATAAAACATGACTTTATCACCTCTTGGCTGAATTACAGCAGTACAAAATAAGGGGATATGAAGTCATCTGCCTTTATGGCTCTACTAATACCAGAATGCAGCAAGCTAGCCCCCAAGCAATCCAAGAAATTATCCAAGTGCTCTTGTTTCTTTCCTTATCTTCCAGGCACTCAGTGAACTGGGCCATTACACCCTGGAGATTCCCTGAAGGACTGTAATTCAACATATTTGCTCCTTAAGCACAGCCTGTTACCAGGTAACTTTTCTTTTTGCCAGAAAAAGAGCTGTTCTTTTTTTGTTTGTTTAAGAGTCACAGTTCTTGGCTTTAGTAAAAAACGTACATAGCACGGCAGACGGAAAGGAATACATTTTAAATAAACAGTAAGCAGGACAAACTTCCTTTCGGCTTGGAAAGGAAGGAAGAGTTGCAAACAACAAATGGCAGCCAAGCACCTCCCTGAAGAGTGCTACAGTAAGAGGGTTATGAGGGAGATATAAAGGCCCTCAACAGAACAAAATTAAATGCATCCGGCAGTGATCTCTCTGAACCAGGAGTTTTGTCACTGGCGTTAAGGGAGCAACCTCGACTCCACTTAATGCAATGCGTCACATGGAAAAGACGAGGGATAACGGGTACAAGTTAATCCTGAGAAGATTCCAACTGGACACGAGAGGAAAATTTTTCTCAATGAGGACAGTCAACGACTGGAATAATCTCCCCAGGGGAGCGGTTGGCTCCGCTACACTAGACATTTTCAGCTAGACAGGGTCCTGGGCCATCTTGTTTAGACTGTGCTCTTACCTAGAAAGGTGGGATCAGATGATCCTTGAGCTCCCTTCCAACCTGGTATTCTATGATTTGATGATTATTAGAGCACTTCTCACAGTAATATCGTTGCTTTTACATTGAAAGTCATGTGAAATTGTTAATTTAGCTCTCATCTTCTTCAGACACATATTACAAGTTCTGCAGCTACAGGCTGCTTGAGCTTTGAGCGCAATCTACATTTAAGACCTTACTGCTACTATCAAACCATAGGATTCAAGAAGCAGCTGAATTTACAGCATCTCTGGAAAACTCAGTGAAAACAAATACAGACTTTAGCCTTATTCGGCATACATTTGTCCTATGTCTGCGTGGATCACCTCTAATGGCACACTCCCTTGTGGAGCAGCATCATGGATATGCTGAACATCATACCAAAAGTAATTGTCTCTGCTTAAAAAAGTTAAGAGATCTTTTTCCCATCTGGAACAAACTGAAAAAAGACCACTTCAACCACATAAAAGAATCTCACTTTTCAAAGCTTTCTTTTTATTCTTGTTTCTGGAGTCTGATACTCCCTGTACTCCACTAACCTAGACCCTCCTGCTGGCGCGTACACTGTGTAGTTGCAAGTTGACTTCTGAGGGCCGTTTTGAGCCAAGGCATACAATCTTATCCAGTCAAACATTTTAAGCCTGCGCAATTACACAATGTGGGTAGGGACAACATAACCTATTGACAATCTGCAGCCTAGAGCAGTACTTTGCTTAGTGACCACACCTTTTTAAATAACAATGACTTACTTGAATGACCCTCTCTATTTGGCACTTCATGTCTGTACAGTATTCTGATATATAGTGGCACATGACACTACAAGATGACTGCTTTCTACTAAATCTTTCAAATAACGAGGATTGGATACAAACACAGATGGAAAAATGGCCAACGTGGTAATGATACTGTGTTAGGTAAAAATAACCAACGGCATAAGATAACCAAGGAGACTTTAGTAAAACCTTCGACACTGTCTCCCACAGCATTCTCCTGCAGAAACTGGCTGCTCACGGCTTGGATGGGCGTACTCTTCGCTGAGTGGAAGAAATGGCTGGCTGGCCAGGCCAAGAGAGTTGCGGTGAATGGAGTTAAATCCAGTTGGTGGCTGATCACAAGCAGTGTTCCCCAGGGCTCAGTACTGGGGCCAGTTCTGTTTAACATCTTTATCAATGACCTCGACAAGGGGATTGAGTGCACCCTCAGTAAGTTTGCGGATGACACCAAACTGGGTGGGAGTGTTGATCTGCTCAAGGGGAGGAGGGCTCTGCAGAGGGACCTGGACAGGCTGGATTGATGGGCTGAGGCCAACTGTATGAGGTTCAACAAGGCCAAGTGCCGGGGCCTGCACTTGGGTCACAACAACCCCATGCAACGCTACAGGCTCAGGGAAGAGCTGCTGGAAAGCTGCCTGGTGGAAAAGGACCTGGGGGAGTTGGTGGACAGCTGGCTGAATATAAGCCAGCAGTGTGCCCAGGTGGCCAAGAAGGCCAACAGCATCCTGGCTTGTATCAGGACTAGTGTGGCCAGCAGCAGTAGGGAGGTGATCGTGCCCCTGTACTCAGCACTGGTGAGGCCGCACCTCGAATGCTGTGCTCAGTTTTGGGCCCCTTACTACAAGACAGACATTGAGGTGCTAGAGCATGTTCAAAGAAGGGCAACGAAATTTTTTCTGGGTAACCTGCACTATATAAAAACATTAATTTGCTCAGTTCAGGGCAGATGTCCCAGTTCAAGACAGAATATCCATTCAGAAAGTGATTAACTCCTATTAAATTCATGCCTTCATTAAATAAATATAAACAATAAAGTATTTACATAATTTTCTGAAATGAACCATTGTCTGATCTTGCATGAATTTCTTAATGCAGGACACACCATCTCACATTGCACATCTGAACTGCAAACTAATAGATTGCCACAAGTCCTATGTTCCTCCCAACAGCTACAAAAAGCTAAAGCAGAATTTCATTTTTGCTTTCATTTGCTAGCTGCCTTCTCTTCCTTTTACACTCTACTTTGCATTCATTTTTTCCTTTTAGACATTACCTCTCAAACCAACTTAATAATTAACAATTACTTGCAAAAAGTGATTTAATTAAGGCGTGAACCCATGCTGAACATTCTGCAATGCACACAAGTATATGCACTGCAGTTTTGGTAACAGTTTGTTTACTGTAAACAAAACATGTTCTGTGAAAGAAGTGCTGCTGAAGATAAGGAAAATTCCAAGTACTCAGTACCTTGGGGAAAAAAACTGCAGCACTGGGAATGTTTTTTTTAGTTTATATATTTGCTAGTGAATATTCCTCTCTCAGATACAGTGTTACTGTTTTTTCCCTTTTTTATTTCTTTACATATTGACATTACTTAAAAACACCTAAGATTTATTCAAGTCATCTTCAGAAATAACTTAGCCATTTTTTAAAACTTATTTTGCACTTTTTAGTGGCAGCATCTATGTAATATCAGTACAAAATTTTAAATTATACAGTTTCAACAGAGATTGCTTCTCGTATCTATGTTTCTAAACCACTTATTGAAGAGGGATAGCACTACAAACAAGTCCATCTGCTGTGATACCACTGTTCTCCACATTCGTTACAAATAACGTAAGTCAACATCTGTTCATCTGGATTTGTGTTTCGCACCCAGCCTGGAAGAAAGAGAGTTCCTCTGGCGATCATCGTGACAGTGCAATCAAATTTTTCACAGCGCCTACACTTTATTTTGTTTGTCTGTGTGCCATTAATAACTTGTGGAAGCTGATGTTCCTGAACAGATGATTCCGTGTATAGAGCCCTGAGCTGTTTCAGTTCATCACTGGCCATTTCCATCACCGTCATCTCAGCAAAAGCCTTTGGACTCAATGCCCCTGAAAAAAGGTTATATCGTAAGTGGCAACTTTTAGGGTTCTTCAGGTTAGAGATTTTGCTTCTGATGCAATTTTTATACTTTTTATCATTTTTAGCATGAAGAGCAAAAATATGTTCTTCAATCTCTTTAGATAGTTCTAGCCATTGATCAGTTTCTTCTTCGTCTTTGGCAGAAGCAGTCAAAGCTTTATAAAGAAGATCCGTACATTTACACCTCAGAGCTCTCATCGGATCCTGCTGCTGACTTGCTTTGTTAAGAAGAGGTTTTGAATCTTCATTGTCAGTGTGCTGTTCCTCAAAAGAAGAAAGCTGACTCATGCTGCCTTCTGCGTTGTTACGTACCATGTTTTTAACGGTTTGAGATGGGACCAGAATTTTAGAACTAGTAGCATCTAACGCCTCCTGCTGACATGGTCCTTCAGACAGCGACTGCCCTCTAGGAACGACACTGAGATGTTCAATTTCCTCTTTCACATGCACAGAAACTGACTTTTTAACTTGCGTTGACTGAACACAGCTATTCTTGTAGAGTGCTTTCCACCTCGATAATAACTGCTTCGCTTTCTTTTTCAACTCCACTGAAGGGCAGCTCTTGAGTACTCTGTATACAGCCTTGGCAACTTCTGTCCCCTGAAGACATTCTGTAGTCATATCAACATCTTCAAGTTCTTTAAGATGATCCTCAATATCTTGGAAATTGTTCTCAGACAGCAGCTTTTCAATACAATGGGCTCTGTGTACAATATTTTTCTGGTCAGACATTTTTAAACCTGAAAGCAGAAGAAATGTTTATCATATTTATTGCAGTTATGACATTAATTCATTTTCTGTATATTCTCACAAGGTTTTCTTTTTGGTTTATATTACTTTACACTATTTTATTTGTATACATCACTGTTTTTGCCAGCTTCTTCTTAAAATGGCGTACAGTGCCCTGCTAACTCTAGCAGAGCAAATGCAAAGTAAGTAGCTGAACACATTTTACTGCGAGCTGCAAAGCGAAGGTTTGGGGCTACTCAGCAGCAAGTTTAAGTAAGTGAGCCTGACATAACCCGGTGGATCTTAAGCCCAAATCACCATTCTGGTTCCTGCATGACCCTCAACCTTTCACTTGCTATGCAAGAGGTCACATGTTCTCTGTCTTCCAAAAGTTTCTCTTTACAGCTGCTAGCAGAGAAGCAAGTCGCACTAGTAAACTTTTAACCGAGGTCCCCACCGCCGCCCTTTCCCTTGCTACCTCTGGCATCATATTACAGTTTGATTATCAAGGCAGGGCAGATCAAAAATAGTGATACCTGCAAAACAGTTTCAAAACAGTGACACCTACAAACTTGTAACTGCTATTTTTGGAAATTCTTAAAGACACATCCCTCTAAATCCTCAAAAGTAGCTATTTTCTTACAGCCATAGCATTATTAAAGCATGCACCCATATATTCTGATGCATTAAATGAAAAGAAAAAGGGGATTTCAGAATGCTTGAATAAGATTTACTTTTGATTCCTTTTTATCAGGCCCTTTGACCCAAAAATGCTCGGTGCATTGATACATGTAAATTTACACACAAAAAGAGTTAACACTACTAACATTATCCTCCTGCTTGCTGAAAAGGAGAATTAAAAGTGGAATGCAGAACTGAATGTGTTATGAGTGTTAAGAGATCATCTTTTCTTAGGAGCTAGTTTTCTGAATTTGTGCACAAAGCCAGTTTTTTGTCTAAAGTTGCATACATCCTGATTCTACTCTAGAAACTAAAGTCTGATACAAGGCTCGCTACACATGTCCATGCATAAAGGGACTCATAAGCAGATTTCTTGCACCATCACTGCTTCCATGATAAAATCTCCTGAGAATGGGGGGAGAGGAGGAACAAGTGATAACAGCTTGGTGATTTGCATGTTCTGTTTTCATGTCAGCTAATTTGTTTTCTGCATGACAGAAATAAGTTCAGACTTTAGGTAGGGCCTCAGAACTCCTCAAAAGAAAACGACAGAGACACAGAGGAAGAGCAAAACCCTTCGTCTCCTTCTATAATCCTGAACCACAGGCCAACCTGACCTCCACAGTGAATAATCTCTGCATTCACTTAAACCGTATTTAAACAGCTCATTATTGTCTGATGTTTTGAAGTCCTGCGAAACCTCAATAATGGCTTTACAGAAACTGATTAACTACTCAAGAAGCTTCAGAATCAAAGAAACAGGATGCATTTTTCAAATACTTAAGTTGAACTCTATGCATCATCATACTGAGAAGCACATATAATTGCATCTTTGCTCATCTGTTCTGCTGCAGGAACACACAGTGCTCTGCTCATAATTTGTCTGTGCATATATACTGTTACCCTGCTACAAAGGTGAGGTATTTTGATCTTTCATTGAGGACTATGCTTCATAGAAATTTTCCTCTCTAATATTGCAGGATGAGGATCCATAAGAAATGGTGCATGAAGTCCATGGATATCATCTGCTTCATGGTAGTGGTCGTTGTTCATGGTGATCCACCTGACCCTAGGCAGCCCACCAGGGTGGCAAGGAGAAGACATGCCCATTTCTGTGGCCAATCTCACAGAAGAAAATTACATGGCTGAAAAAGACTCCTTCGGCTCCACAGCTATGAGTGGGCACTGGCAGCTGGGGTGACTAACACAAAGCCTCTGAGGGGAGCTGGAGCCCATGCATTGGCATCTACAGCAAGAACGAAGCCATTCCGCCATGCATTCACAGTGAACTACCTTACACTTCATGGACACCTATAGCTACTGAGAAGAAGCTGATATACGCTAACTCATCACCCCACACTAAGATGCTTTTTTTCTAACAGGCAACCAGTTTTGTTTTGTTTTTTTAACCCTCCATCAGATATATAAAAGGCTGGTTTAGATTAGGTTAAATGCAGCATATATGTTCTACCTCAGGACTTTTTCCACACGTGTGCTAAGGCAATAAATTAAATTATTAGAAATTTTAAGATCTTCTTAGTCATGCATTGACTTTTTAAAGCTTATGCAACATGAAATTAAGTACATAAATGTTATGGCAGCAGTTAAACAAGGAAATTGAAAACAGAACATGGACATACAGACAATGATTTTAAAATCATTTTGGAAATTTAATCACTTAACAGACTACTCACATTTAAGTCAAGACAATCACTCTAAGGGAATGCTTTTGTCAACATGTACAACACACAGCAAAGAGGTAAGACTGAGTGACTCCCTTCAAACTTCTAAAGCAAAGCTAGGTAAAAGAAAAGAAAAGTCATCAAAAATATATGACAAGAACAGAACCAATTCCATAATTAATTACTGCAATGGAGTGGGATATTCCCTGGTAACTGGCAGAAGCACAAGAAACATCCAGCAGAGAAACCAGCAAATAAAGCTAATAAACATGACTTTATCAGTGATGACAGAGAGGTTTCTGTGGGGAAAGCATTCTTAAAATGCCACTAGCTTTGTTGTGTGCACCTAGATTGCAAAGAATTTTAAGATCCTTCAAGATGAAAAGTCATACATACATCTGAAATACTGTGCTAGCTACTCAATCATAAATTTAATCTCAGCTTCCAAATTAAAAGGCAGTGTGGTGGAAAAAAAAAAAGGTGTTTGTGCATTTGTTGCCCTATAAATCAAGCAAGGACTGGATTTATCACCAAGGTTGACGAAGACCATTACTTTACAAGATCAAAAATTAAAGAGATTCCTGAACTTATAAAGAACATATAAGATATGAAATGGTTCATTTGACTACTGCTGGCTTCCTTCAAAGGATGAGGCAGGGCTCTTTAATACTGGGAATCCTGTGTAACATTTCATATTAAGTATGGATGTCAAGGACCTCTTTTCTGCCTCTCTAATCAAGGCACAACGTGATTTCCTCAGACAACTGTAGAAAACATGTTTTTCATGTTCTTATAGGGAGAAACAAGAAATTACTGATGCAGTGGTAATACTGGAATGTATTTTATAATCATAGTTCACTGGGAACCTAAGTATAGCAAGCCTGAGCTCTTTTGTGCTCAGAACCCTGTTCCTTGAACTCCAATGTTTCTGCTGTAGATCAGGGTTTTGCTGTTTGTGGAATGATGGCAAAACCTCCGGGTACAGGTATGCTTTATTTTTTTGCTTTGTAGAAAGAATAGTGGAAGTCTGTGATACTCGAGACAGCTGCCAGACCGCTAGCTGCCCACTGACAAGGGATTTTTGAGTTTTCTGCTATGTCAGATAAGCAAAATCATTGACTGAAATAAGAGTGATTTCAAAAAAATTAGAGAAATAAGAGTTTAAAACAACTCTAGGTAGTCTACAAATATTTATCATTCTCTGTAGTTCTCAGATGACAAAGGTGAGGCTTACAGGGTGAAATAACCTGTCCAAGCTGGTTCAATAGGTCAGCTGCAGAATGAAGACCATGATCATAATCCTTTAATCCACCGCTCTACTTCTCTGATAACCCCACAGTCCTAAACAGCTGTTCATAATGTTCAACATTTTGGGAGGGGGGGACACAACCGAAAAAAAAGAACAAAGAGGAAGTTGGGAGAAGCCTCAAAACTTTCTGAGGAGAAAAAGTGTTTCACAGAAACCAAGCTACAATTCCAAATGGGAAATTATTTTACCACTTGAGGGAGCTGTAGCATAGTGAACCTATGGAGTCTTGTGAAATGTGCCTAATAAGAAACTCCAACCTCTCAAGAAAAAAGATAAAACAATTTCCCTGTGACCTTTAGGAGACTTCATATTTTTAGGGTACCTATTTGTCTAAATTTGACCACAAAACCCTGTAAGTCCAAAGGTGCTGAGACACAGACAGGAGGGGAAGGGTGCATCCCTTATCCAGTCCTTGTCTTGGACACTGCTCTTTCATTCAACATTTTTAAAATTTTGAATTTGACCACTTTTCTACCTGATTTAATGCTATTTGGCAAATGCTGCTGACCAAATATTTGTAAAACTAACTGAATCATACTCAGTCAGCACTTTTCTGCTGTCTTCCTAGTTCCAAGAGGTAAGAAATCCAAGAAAAAGGATTTTTTTCTAAGTTATGAAACGAATCATGCATTTTTGTTATCGTAGAGATGCAAGAAGTACACGATAGTATCACAGCTTTGCGCAGTACAAAATAAACATCCTCATCCCTCCTATAACTATACAAGAAATTTCCATCCTGCTTCATTTTAGCAATGCACGAGAACATTGGTTTGAATTCCAAGTGTCTACTGAAGGTTACAAGGTAGAGATTGACTCTGTAATGCTGTGCTGATGAGGTACTTTCTTGCCAGACCATTAGAAGCTCTCGCACTGACTGCACGGTCACTTGTATATACAAGAATAAATTATGGTGATCAATAAAAATCTTGTAATTCAGATTGCTCCGAAGGAAAAAAAGATCAGGCTACCTCAGGTTTAAAATACGGTCATCCTGTAATAATACTGAGTTGAATCAGAACTTTTTTAAACGTTAAAATCATTAGACAGGAGAAAACAAGCAAGCAAACAAAAAAACCCCCAGCCTGAGACACTTGCTGCTAAATGCAAAGTCAGCCCCTGGGATAAACATTGCCCTTTCCAAAACCATGAGGGGTAAATGCCTTGTCTCTGCTATGCGCCTTATCTGGTCCAAAGCCATAGCCTATTTTGCCTAACTCCCACTGATAAATCAAGACAAACTCAGAACGCATTGAAGTAAGTGTGGACGAATGTCTTGGAAGGGTAGAGAAGGCTGAACACCAGTCCTCCCTCATCCCAACCTCAGATGAGCAGGGCTTACACAGAGTCAAGGCCTTTTCTGCTCCTCACCCCACCCCACCAGTGAGGAGGCTGGGGGGGCACAAGAAGCTGGGAGGGGGCACAGCCAGGACAGCTGACCCCAACTGGCCAAAGGGACATCCCACACCGTATGACGTCATGCTCAGCATATAGAGCTGGGGGAAGAAGAAAGGGGGAGACGTTTGGAGCGATAGCATTTACTGTTACGCGTGATAGAGCCCTGCTTTCCTGGAAATGGCTGAACACCTGCCTGCCCATGGGAAGCAGTGAAAGAATTCCTTGTTTTGCTTTGCCTGCGTGCGTGGCTTTGGCTTTCCCTATTAAACTGTCTTTATCTCAACCCACCAGTTTCCTCACTTTTACTCTTCTGATTTTTCCCCCACCCCACTGGGGGGGGGGAAGTGAGCAAGCGGCTGCGTGGGGCTGAGTTGCTGGCTGGGTTTAAACCACAACAATAATGAAGTTATTATCAAGCCTCAGGGATCAACCCCAAAGTAGAGTTGTCAGCGTATTTTTCTAATAAGATCAAACCAACATACATTAATTTAATGAGATAGGAAAAGCTGTTGCCCTTGCCAGATTGCTTAGCCCCGGCTTCATTTGACCTCACTATGTAAGCTGGAGCTCAGGAAAAAACTCAAAATAGTACAGCTCCACCAGACAAATAACACCTTTCACTTGTCTCACAGCAAAAAGTAGCTGAGAAAATTCTTTAACAATTGAGCAGCTACAGCTGTTTTGAGTTATAGGAGCTCCAGCTGATGTGACAGTGGACACACACAACCCAGCAAAGATGTTACCTTGCTAATGGTTTCTTTTAATAATTTAAACTGTTCTCACTGGAAGATATTTTAGCTTTTCCTGTATCTTGTCTACCTTACCCATGTGAATTTTTCTGCTGAACAGACTGGCTATCTGAATTAGACAAACACCTTAAGCCCTGAAAATGTTACAAATAATGCATTATTCCACTGATTTGAAATCTTTATTTCTATTGTTATGGTTGACCTTTTTAATAAAATACTTCTAAGGAGTTTAAAAAAATTACACAATTTAGTTTTAACAAGTTACAGATTGCAAGCATCAAGTGGAGGTATTAGCTAATCTCTTCCACAATAGGATAGCTATACAGATTCACAATACATTCTAATACATTACGATTTAATGGGGCAATAATAAAATGTATATATAGTTCAGAAACACTTGTCATTAACAGTTTAATTTGAAATTACATATAAATAATGTGTGCTTCTATTTGCTTTGAGATTTGCATCACTTCCCACAAAGAAACACTTACATGGTTTCTATAATCTACAACCAGATGACTTTTCAGTACTAACTTTATTCAAAATCATGCTTTCAAGTTTGGGCATGAGGTCACCAAATTTTCCATGGGGCTCTCTCTTTTTTCAAATTTTTATGACAAAGCCTTATCAAAGCTGACAGAGGAATACCTTTTCTCTCAGCCACTTTCCACTACCTGCCAGCATGAGGTAGTAGCTGGAGCTTCCAGCAGGTCAAAAGTCAGGCTTTTGACACATGGTGTGTATTTTCAAAACATGAGCTACCACTTTGGCCACAAGTGACAAACACACATATGAAGAGTGTTGAATGAAATTTAAGCAGATGACTCAGACATTAATTAATGCTACCTAGCTATGGCAGGGACACGGATTGCGACATACGTATTTTACACTAGTTAAGCTGACCTGCTAGAGTGAAGTTTATCAAGGGGTTCAGGCTTTTTGGGGGGCTGTACACAATTTTTCACAGATCGCACAATAATTTTTGTTATTAATTAACAGCGTCTCTTGCAAACGAAAGAGTACAGCTTATCATCTGCACAAAACCCCCAAGCTTGCTAGAAGTACATTTGGCATCTTCCCAACATGCCTCTGTCATGAAGAGCAAAGCTTAATCTGTGACAAGTAGAAAATGCTAATACCATTCCTATAACATCACCTATCTTAGTACCCAATTGAAACTTCACTGTGTGGAATAAATTTTATTTGCACTTTGTGTAATGATTGCTTCATTTCCTAACATTCACATTTTTCCAACAGTAACAGATATCAAAACAGAAAGAACTTATTACTATCGTTAAATTTGAAAGAAAATATGAAGAATATTTCACTATTTTCCCACAGCAAGAGGATGCTATAAATATTCTTCCTCACTCAAGAAACATACCAGATGACACCAGTATGATTTAAGAAGCTTAGGGTCATCATTTATTAAACTATTTTAATTCAATACAGTTTAGTCTCCTAAACAGTTCGTCTGGATGGATGCAAATGATTGTATTCATAATTCCAATCACTTAGGACAGCAAACCAGCCAAATAATTTCAGCAAGGCTGTGACATCTTCCAAGGGGAAGCTGATTTCTTCAACACATAGTGACTGCATTGCCTTATGTAGGTAATGCTACAGGTTCCAGTTCACGAAGCACGCGCTCTTGCTCTCTCCCCCCGCGCCACTGGGATTGCATCAGACATCTGGACTGCTCCCTCTACTCAATGTCTGTGCACAAGAAGCACTCATAACACTGTCCTCCAAACACTGGGAAATCATAATTCAAAATCCGCAGTACACTGAGAGTGGCTTATACACTATACCTTTTAGAAGTAAAAAACTAGGAGCTGTTCTGCATTTCTTTTAAGGCTGTAAGCCTCTTGTGTTCCCATCTTTCCCACACAGACAAAATGATTAGGAGTTTACTTTTCTGAAAAAGAAAGGTTACATTATCATGTACAACATGGCTTCAAGGACCAGTACCTGAAGAAGTCAAGAGTTTTAATCATTCTATTGTAATTGTAAAAAGATGGACAAAAAGATTGATTCCCTTTTCACCTATAATGATGATAATGATGTTACCTCTCATATTCCTGCTTGGTATTAGAGCCTTCCTCCGCTATTTTCTAACTTCCTTTTGAATGTCTTGTCCATTTACCTAGGTAGAATTAATTAGGTGGGCTTTTTTCTTTTTTTTTTTTAAACTGACTGAAGTGAAGAACTTGTGAGCTGCAGGTTTTAAATTGGCTTTTAAGAGACAGAACTAATTTAACATTCTTGCACGTCCACTTATTCTTCAATCTCCGTAAATACTACTTACATCCTCTTGCAGACTTACTGATTTGAAACCTGGACATCCGCAATCTAAAAAAAGCTTTCCTAGAGTGGATCACGTATCTTCCTTTCAGGAAGCTTCTCCACTGGCACAGAAGTCCAACGAAACAGACTGGCTTAGAGATAGGAGACTAAATCTATTTACATATATTTATCTATATCTATTCAAAGTACACTTCTTCGCTTAATACTTTAGAAACAAAATATGAGTAATTTTGGAGAGGAACAAGCAATTCTTTCTCTTGAATACATTTCCTTGGCAAAATAGCTTTAAAGGTTATTCTTATTCCTATGGAGCTAGCAAAGACTTCACTTCTAGCACACTGCAAGCAAAAGTAGATGTTCAGTCTGCAATGTCTTTTTATTGCAAATTGTTCTGACAAGTGAATATAAAAATGGGACATGTAAGTAATAAAAACATGGTTTATGAACTTTTGTATTTGATCATTTTTCAGATGAACAGACTTTTTATTGCTGTAACACTCAATGTCTAGTTAAGCCTCAGTTCAATATTATTTCTATTTGTCATTCCACTGCCAGGGACATACTTACATTAGATACTGCTTTATCATTCTTTTGCAGGTTTTCCACTGAAAAATGATTTCACTTTTTCCCCTTTAAAAATAAATGCTTTGTATGCAGAAGAGCACGTGTTCCTGACCCCTCTACAGAGAAAGTGCATGATAATCGAAGGGTATTTATAAGATATTATTAGTGTCTGCTAAAATTCCTTCTTCTAAAACGTGCATACTTAAATATGAATGTACACAATGTCTATACATTTGAGAGTCTTGATCAAGACACCTGATGTACTGGTTGAAATAAGATGTGAAATACACTTGAAATGGATTTTGATATATTTAATTATTAAAAAAAATACTACATTGAACAGTGTGAACGCTCTAATTCCCTTCTATATTCATGCCAGTGCTTGACATCAATGCTGCATGGAGACCAATATAAAAAATTCCCGTAACACTACCATCACAGATATCCACCTTGCAATTTTCAAGGTCAGCCTCTCCTGTGAAGTGGGAATTACTGCCGCTTACGATATAAATCAGTAGGGTAACTACAACAGCCAGGAGAAGCAGCCCAGCTGTATGTATTTGTCTGAAAGCAGCTGCCCTTTGCCTGATGTGGAAGCCAGCCCCCGATAGCAACTTGTCTGGAAGAGGTTTGGCGTTCGCCTCCCGATGCCAGCAGCTGCCCGGTGCCGCTGTCACCTCAGACTCCGGCCCAAGCAAACAGGTGGAGATCAGCCTGCAAACCGATCACGCCCATAAAATGGGTGGGCCAGTTCATACAGTAATTGTGTAATGCCGCGGGTACGCTAACTCCGTGGTTTTTTCTCCAAATCCTTCATGAAAATCTCCTCGGCTCTGTTCCTCCCACACCCCCTCAAGCTGCCCGGTGCCGCTGTCACCTCAGACTCCGGCCCAAGCAAACAGGTGGAGATCAGCCTGCAAACCGATCACGCCCATAAAATGGGTGGGCCAGTTCATACAGTAATTGTGTAATGCCGCGGGTACGCTAACTCCGTGGTTTTTTCTCCAAATCCTTCATGAAAATCTCCTCGGCTCTGTTCCTCCCACACCCCCTCAGACCCACCTAGCCTGAGTGTGATCCGCTGCCGCATGGCTTAGGGGCGAACCGTCGCCCCCCCCCCCCCCCCCCCCCCCCCCCCCCCCCCCCGGCCGGAGAA